TTTTCTACTTACGAGGTGGTATAGGTTTCTTAAAACCATTCCCCTTAGGCATCGAAACCTTCCATGAGTACTATCCCGTCTTTCATTTTCCAATTTCAGCTTATTCTCCAAGCCGTCAATTTTGCTTTCTATTGACGATCGAGACATTTTTCCATTAATTTTCGCATTGGTTTATTTCGAGAGCAATCCCAACAATCGCCACTGAAATCGAAACACTTTCTAGCAGACACATAAGTTTACGACGGACGTCCGAATTGAAAGTTTTGTAGAACGATTGCACGTTAACATTTGTAAGACACGATTTTGTGTTTTTGTTTAAAAGGTTTTTATTAAATTCGACGCGAAATCGAATGGAATAAATAACATTTTATCAACTTGAGTTGTGCATGACAAAAGTTGACAGATTGAGAGGAGATGTCAGAAATCGGTGTTGCCAGATGGGGAAAGAAATATGAAACTTGTTCACTGAGGGTTTTAATAATAAATCAACAAATAACAAGCATTATTTTATAATTTCATTTGCATACTTGCACACAAATACTTCTATTATAATTATTAACAATTTATATAAATATAATCAAAATATAAAATATATTTAAAATAGTGTCTTCGCATACAACTTCACTCCATACCTTTCCCCCATTTGACAAGTGTCATTTTAACCATAACCTCTTAAATAATTAATATAAATTTAATCATAATTAAATAAATTAATGTTTAAAATCAATAAATAAAAAATGGAATTGCTTCTAGATCCTAATATACGAGGATGGGTGTTTTTACCAATCGTAGTAATAACATTTTTAGTTGGAATTGTTAGACATTATATAGCAATGTTATTATCATCACAGAAAAAAGTTGAATTGCAACAATTGCAAGACAGGTACAAATATTTATTATCAACCAGCACTAAAAATCACTTACACATATGTAAATTACATATAAAAATTGTTTTTAACATTTTAAATTATATTAGTACCATCATAGGTTTTCATAAATTATATTATTTCTATTCTAGTCAGGTGATGATAAGAGCAAGATACCTCAGAGAGAATGGCAACTATTTGCACCCCCAATCATTCCTGATGCGAAGACATTTCTTCAACAACGAAGAAACCGGTTATTTCAAAACCCAGAAACGTCCTGCCACAAATAACAACCCCATGACCGACCCCAGCGTTATGACAGACATGTTAAAAGGAAACATTACTAATGTCTTGCCTATGATTGTTATTGGTGGATGGATTAATTGGATGTTCTCAGGATTTGTGACAAGTATGGAAAAAAAAATTATATATTAGTAAGAAAAATTGTGTTAATGTTTGATTATTGTTTTTAGCAAAAGTGCCATTCCCGTTGACGTTGAGGTTTAAACCAATGTTACAAAGAGGTGTGGAATTAGCTTCGTTGGATGCTAGTTGGGTATCATCTGCCAGTTGTAGTTTTGAATTTTCGGTCTGCGCAGTATCTACACTTTGGTTTTAGGGGAAAATAATGGTAATTGTATTGTACACACACACACACACACACACACACACATATATATATATATATATATATATATATATAAATGTATCATCTTATCTATTTGTATTTTTTTCAGCCTCTGATCAAACCCGAATAATGCAAGAACAAATGTCCGGAGCAGCCATGGCAATGCCACCAGATCCAAAAAGTGCATTCAAAGCCGAATGGGAAGCTTTGCAAATAATCGAACATAATTGGAATTTAGCAAATGCAGATCAGCAGCTTTTAAACAAAGCCAACAATAGCAGTTCATAAATAGATGTAATATTTATTTTAATTTTGTTGAAATAGGTGAATTTTGTTTATTATTAGGTGAATTATTTACATTTATTATGTTAATTTAAGTGTATGGTAATATATAAATCACAAAAATTTATTGAGCTGTTTTATTAACTCTTTACATTTGAAAAGTTTCTGAACATTTTGGCATACCTTAAAAAAAATTTATGTGTGTGTGTGCATATGTGCGGATACAAATTTTTGTTGGCAATTAGTTTTTGGAAAAGACAATTTTTGTTTTGAAATAATTATGATATTAATTTTAATTCTAGATAAATAAATCATATAATTGTAATTTTGGGTTAAGAATTCAAAAAATTACCCAGGCTAAGCACAGTCTAAGCGCCACTCTGGCACAATTGTTTACCCAAGTGTGTTTAGATTGTCTATTTGTGAAAACTATTGAAAAATGTGAAAATGCCGCCGAGCTAAGCACAGTATAAGTGAAAATGTCGCACAGAATTATTTGCCAATGCGTTTAGACTGTGACTATACACAGGAGCACTTTTTCAATTTTGTGCAACTATTTTTTGGAAATAGAATTCGAAATGAAATAACGATCGTTAATGTTCTGGAAAAAAATTGCCATTTATGATTTACATTTGATTTGCTCAGATATAACAAGTTAGCAAAAATAATGAAATTTACAGTATTTGTAATAATATATGTGAAAACGTTTAAAATTTCTCGAATATTTCATTATGGAACGGGAAGTTCGAGCAAATTGCCTGGAGGCACGATGCCATACACCACTAGTTACTATTTCAAATTAAAAAATCCGTTAAAACTATATATTACTCACTTCACTTACGTTAATGAGTAAATAGTATTACCCCATTATATTATACTCCTCTTTTATCTATGTATTACCCAATCCCGTTCTAATCTGTCAACATGTTTCAAATTTTGAGGTTATGTTAAATTTATTCCTAAACGCAATATAATTCATCCCCATTACCATTATTATTAATATAAATTAAAAAAAAATGAATAACATGATACGTCGCATTTTACCTTCCTATAAACATGTAATAGTTCGCGGAAAACAAACAGCCGTACAAGAATTAAGTAATTTCCAAGATTATGAAGAGGACGATGAAATCGATAGAGAGAGGATTATTGAAGAAAAAAGGAATAAATCCAGATTGCTTCCTCAGCACAGGAACATGGTGCTGGGGAAGGTTCCGTACCAAGAACCACAGTCGTGGATACATGAAACTGTTAAATATAAACGAATGATGTATGGGAGGTACGGAAGCAGTAGTAATGTTAATCCAGGTAAAGGATAAAAGTTATAGTAATAATAATAATTGATTGAAGTACCTGAATTGCTTTGTATTCTGCTTGTATGATGTTTTGCAAGATAAATCTTCAAGCGGGTCTTTCAGCATTATGCAGTCTGAGTCTGTAAACATTAAAATATACTTTAAAACATTATAAATATAAGAAATAAATAAAATAACTACTTACTTCAAGAGAATTTTTTCTATGTTTGTGCAAAATATTTTCATAAAAGACATCCCAGCCAAGTTTATTCCTTTAAGTCTGCAAATAATAATACAATTATTTATATAATATATATATATATATATATATATATATATATATATATATATATATATAAATTTATTTATTATCTTTTACCCAGCTCTATGTTGGCCCGACAAAGTAGATCTAGAAGATACTCTCGAATATGAAAGAGTAAAGTACCCCGAAACAATCCCTGAAATGATGAAGAAGGTTGCCGAAGAAAAAAAACAAAAAGCAGAAGCCATGAGAGCACGTGATGAAGAAATCGCAAAGAAACTCTTAAAATTACAAGATTGAAACACCAACTTAAGCAGAAAATGGCTAAGGCTGAAGCAGAAGCCAGAGAAGCAAAGTAAGAAATAAAATATATATATATACAATTTATTATATTAAATAAAATATATTTTTTATTTCAATTGTTTTCTTTCCAGGAGCGTAAAGATAGGTTAGTAGAAGAGGTAAGAAGGCACTTTGGATTCAAATTAGATCCCCGTGATGAGAAGTTCCAAGAAATGTTGGCACAGAAAGAAAAAGCTGATAGGAAGCAGCAAAAGGAGCTGAGGAGACAAGCACGTGAAGCTAAAATTGCAGCAAATTTGCTAAACCAACAGAATGCCTTTAAAGAAAATGAGGAGGAAGAAAAATAATTTATATTTTTGTTAAATTAATGTAGCTATGTAATTAAATAATAGAACTTATACTAAAAAACATGTTATTTTTTATGCAAGTCATTCTGTAAAATCTGGTTTAAAACTAGTGGTGTATGGCATCGTGCCTTAAGGCAAATTGCTGGAACTTCCCGTACCGTAATGAGATATTTGAATAATATTAAATGACTTCAAATATATTATAATAAATGCTGTAATTTTTGTTATTCGTATTATTCGACGACGACGTTTCTATTTGTTTAAAACAAAATTGGATCAAGTGGAGTTAGAACTAGCTGTAAGAGGAATTCTGTCTTAAGGCAATTAGGGCATCTTGCCTTAAGGCAAATTGCTGGAACTGCCCGTACCGCAATTCAAAATTCGAATAATTAAAAATAATCAATAATATTAATCAATAAAAGTTGATCAATGATTTGAAACTTTTAATAGAATTTCTAACCATATTAAATCATTCTATCTTAAATCATTAATTTTGAAATATTTTGGAAATTCTGAACTTTTTTTCAAAGCAATCGTACTGCTTTAACTGCATAAAGTCAAAATATCAAAGCGCGTAAGCGCCGCGTCGCCGTCTAACGCGTAAACATTGGTATGGAACCCATAGGAATGTAAACAAGATTTATACTTATTGTTAAAATCTCTATGATCATTTTTGACCACCAAATGGCTCATTTTTTTACTTTTTCCTCCATATCTCCAAAGTCGTTGGACCTGCCTTTCCAAAAATTTGAACGGTTCTTCACTTAGTCAAAACAAATAAAATGTTTTTTGAATTATTCAAATCGGACAATCCATTCCCTTAAAAACTGAGTTACCGTTTTCGGCACTTTTTGCCCCGTATCTTCGGAACGGCTAGACCTGCCTCCGCCAAAAACTAATCAGCACGTCTCCTTATCAATATGAATCGAATGTTTTTTGAATTATTCAAATCGGTTGATCCGTGTTCCCGAAATCGTCGACGAAAATTTGTATCCGAACATACATACATACAACACACACACACACACACACATACATCCATTTTTTCTAATGTTTGCCAAAATATTCAGAAAGTTCTGAAACGTAAAGATCTATAAAAATTTTCATTTTCGATTTTTTTGCGATTACTATAACTTGCCCTACGGGAAGTTAATTAGAGGGCCTTATCTCATATTTTCAAGAATCATATAAACTGAATTGTTAAGTTAGTTATTTAATTAAAGTATAATAATGAGCTTTAGACTTTTATCTAACTAGAATTAAAATCATTTTCGATATTCCAAAAAAAATGCTTAGTTCTCTCAAAAACTGCAATTTTTTGCACATTTAGCTGCGTATCTCCGAAACGGCTAGACCTGCCTTAGACAAAAACGAATTTCCACTTCTCTCCATCATTACAAATTTAATGTTTTTTGAATTATTCAAATCAGATGCTCCGTTTTCTCAAAAACTCAACACATCTTCACATAAATAGGAATCATTTGCTTTTTGAATCATTCAAATCGGTTAAGCGGTGCTCCAGAAACCGTCGGCAAAAACTGTATCCACACACGCACACACACACACGCACATACATCATTTTTTTTTTTCAGGTAAGCTAAAATTTTTAGAAACCTCTGGACCAAAGATATATAAAAAACTTCATTTCCAACTTTTTGCGATTACTATAACTTACCCTACGGGATTTTAATAACAACTTCATTCATCCTTAAAATATTATAAATTATATTACACAGTATTATGATACAAATATTTCCAAAATCATAATTCAAAGATGTTTTCCAAAACAATTTCTATCAAACTTTATCTTGTCCTTTAATTTTAAGCAAACACTTTTGGTGGTGCCGGATCTTCAAAGTCTCCTAATTCTTCTACATTGTAAGCGTAAGCTCTAAACCCTCTCAATTCCCATGGCGCCTGGTGCTCGATTAAAGTCAATTTGACATCCAAGTCTTCTAACGTGGGTACACCGGGTATAACCTGATCTGTTACACATTCCTGAAGAAAATATTTAAATAAATAAATAAATATATATATATATATATATATATATACAGTAGAATCCGATTAGTATGACGCCGGATATATTGACAACCGCTTAATATGACGTAATCGCACTAGGAATATGGTTTGCATATAAAATTCCTTGAAAAAACAGCTGTCTAGTCGGATATATTGACATCGCTTACATTGACATGTCGCTTATAATGACCAATTTTTGCAAAAAAATTATGTCCAATTATAATAACCGACATGATTTTACATGATGTGGCCAAGTCAACGAAAGCAATTGCTATGTCTGTTGTGCACAATAGCACCAGGGACTGTTTTTACAATAAAATTATGTAAAGAAATCAATCAAAAATTACTATTTACTTACATTAAAAAAACATTTATATGTTTATGGGTAGGGTAGACTAATTATTATTGCCCACCACGGATATCTCATAAACAAATAAAATTAGATTTTTTTTAACAATTATATATGATAGTAGAGGGCGAAAAATGTATAAATTCATAACCAGCCATCACCTTTATTCTTATGACTTTGCTATTAGAAGATAAGCGGCACATAACTGCAATAAAAAGGACCAGCTGAACCTTTACTTTGGCAAAGGTGTAAGCAATAAAATAGTAAAGTTTAAAAAAAAGGAATTTTACAAGAGATTAATTGAATAAATTGTTATTCCGGCTCTTCTGATGAAGATTTCTGACCAATAGCAGATCAATGTAATATACTGTGTTGTCTTTGTAACAAATGTACCCTCAGAATTAATACTTTGCATTGGTTTTATAATGTAGCGTGAAATGCCTTTAAAATTTAATAGAAGAAATTGCATCTGTTCGCCCCCTATTTGTTCCACTTTATCCCGTATGTGAGGTAAAATGGGTCAGATACCAAATGTTTTAAAAAAATAGTAAAAAATACAATATTTATATAATTAGGAATTATGTACGTATGTATGTAAGTTTTTCTGAACATTCAGTTCTATAGATGCTTCTTTGATGTATGTTATGTGTTGTTCATTGGGTTTAGACAGTATAATTACCGTAAGTCAAATTGAACCGTTGTGCCCCCGCCCTACCCTATGTCAATTTTATTTTATATTAAATTTTAATGTGTCAATTTTATTTTTAATTAAATGTTTGTATAGGCTTTTTTTTTAAATTACTGAAAAATGTAACATATTTGCATATTAAAAAGTTTTTCTTCAGTACGCTTTGTATGACGACCGGTTAGTATGACGAGATTTTGGCGTCCCTTCGATGTCATACTAAGCGGATTCTACTGTATATATATATATATATATATATGTTAAATATAAAGTATTATGTTTAATAAATACCCTTTCAATCTGTTCCCAGTGCAGGTATCCGACTGGCCAGCCGGGGCAAAGTTTCTCTGTCAGGTATATACGTGCCCAGAATGTGGGGTCGTATCTCAGGTCGTAGCGCTTGTAGCCCCATTGGGTGCCCTGTTTGCGCATCACGCGGTGGAAATAGTCGACCAGTTCGCCCAGTTTATACCTCCGGGGGCTAAAAATATAAAGGACATTTTTAACTTTCCAAAGGAGAGTTAAAGGGAGAGGCTGCTTTAGAGGCTTCAAAAAACGGCTTTTTACTGCATTTTAACGGCAGGAAATAAATGTTTAATTGTAACGAAACTTTCAGGGTTTATCGCTATATATTTCAACATTCTTTTCAATTTTTTTCATTGAAATATATGTCATAATATGCAGGGTACGAGCATTTTGCCGATGCGCAAAACTAGCATGTGGTGTCATTTCGTGGGAAAGATGCAGGTCACAATTTTCACTCGAAACAAAAAAATCAAAATAAATATATATTCTCAATAGTATAGATTCTAATTGAATCTAAAAAATCTAGAAAAAATGACAAATTCGCCAATTTTTCGAACTTGAAAAAAATCGTGTTTTTATACAAAATTTCACTTTAGATTGGTAAAAATGTAGATTAATTATAACTTTTTTTGAAGGTTTTTTAGGTTCAACTAGAATAGAATTTAATCTTGAATACAATGAATTTTGTCTCGTTTCGATAGAACGTTCAGTTTTTTAACTTCCCAAAGGAGAAGTTTGTTTTCATCAAAAAATCCGATTCGCTAATTTTATGTTTTCTCGACGTTTCAAGCCATTCTGAATCGAATGAGACCAAATTTAAGGTAAAAGTATGTGTGTGTGTGTGCGTGTGCACCAACAGATTTTTTGCCGTAAATCGCAGTTTTCCCAAAAACGGCTGAACCGATTTCAAAAATTCAAAAGCCATTCGATCTATCTCGATGAGGACTAATGTTTGTCAGTTTTGTGCGACGATCGGCCATTCCGTTTCTTCGTAAATAGCAGAGAAGTGAAAAGTTTTTCGTCCACGTTTTAGCCCGCAATTCTGAATCGATTTTGAAAATTTAAAAAATCGTTCGAATGATATTGGTTGGGAATCAACCTGATTAGTTTTTGGTAGAGGTCGGCCGGGCCGTTTTCTTGTAATCAAGATTTTTTAAAAAAAATTTCGACGATTTTTATGATTTTTTTTTTGACGGTAGATACCATAGTCTTCTAGATCATACTAAAATATTACGGCTCTACGACAATTGGTTTAACTGAAAAAATTCGTCAAAGTTTGCAAAACTTGGTATTGTTTTTTTGGCATTTGTCAAAATTAGACTTTTGATCGACGTTTTCTCAAAAACGCCTGAACGATTTTAAAAATTTAAAAGCCATTTGATGTATTTCGGTGAGGACTATCGCTTGTCAGTTTTGTGTGACGATCTACCAAGCCGTTTCTTTGCAATTTGATAAAAAGTGTTAAACTTTTCGTCCACATTTAAGCTCATCCTACCGAACCAATTTTGAAAAATCAAAAACTGTTCGAAAGATATTAGATGGGAATGAAACTTATTAGTTTTAGATGAAAATCTACCGAGCCGTTTTCTTGTAATGAACTGTTGAAAAAAAAATTAAGCCGATTTTCATGGAATTTTT